TTTTGAAAACAGAAGGGTAAAGCTTAAAAAAATTTTGACTGAACAATTTTGAATAAATAATAAAATTATAATTATAAAGAAAATTATTTTTAATAAATAAATTAATTTTGAAAAAGAAAGCTTAATGCTTAAAAATCAAATATTTTTCTGATTCAATCGAAAAGAAGATTTATATGTATATGTAATTTTGAAAAGCCTGCGTTAGTATTATTGTTAATTTGGGTTTAAAGTTAAAAGAGTTTTTTTTTAATTTAATTGACGAGATAATACATAATTTTTTTTCATTTTTTACTCGGTTTTTGTTGTTGAGAAACTCGTGGTGTAATTTTTTTTACTTTTTTAGGAAAATTATCAAATCCCTTGTATAGTTTGAGCATTATCAAATTTGTTCTTTAATATTTTTTGCTATCTCAACGTAGATGTCTTTGCCACTGTAAAATGTTTGGGTTTCTTTACAATATTTTTGCGTCTAGTCAAAAAGAACTTTTGCAGTCGAAATTCGATTATTTGGAGAATATTGAAGACTATGGAATTTTTAAATTTGATAATTTTTCTTAAAAAAGTAAAAAGAATTACTCCAGGAGTTTCTAAAAAAACCGAGTAAAAAATAAAAAAAATGATTTATTATCTCGTCAATTGAATTTATAATTATAATTTTATTATTTATTCAAAATTGTTCAGTCAAAAATTTTTTAAGCTCTACCCTTCTGTTTTCAAAATTAATTATTTAAAATTTTTTTTAGTAACAGTAATGCAGGCATTATTTTTATGACAGTCTCAACCCTGTAGAATGCACAGAGCTTTTACTAAAGCAGATGAAGAGGAAACAGTAATATTTGTGTCGTTCAACGGCGCAGCGACAGCGTAACGTACAGTGACGCGGGCGCGCCGCTTAGTTTGTTTTTAAATATCTTCTAAACTTATGGCCATCCCACTATGAAACATATATGTTTTTTTGGAAAAAACCCAAAAAAACCCCCACTACTTTCTAGAATTTTTTTTAAAAGAACTAATATTTTGCAAATTTATTACTTTCATATAGCATAACAATTTCCCAAAATATGAAGCCAATCCCAAGACTTTTTTTTGGGCTGGGACGTTTGAGAAATAATGCCTTATATATATATATATATATATATATATATATATATATATATATATATTCCACGTCAACACGGACAGAGCTCTAAACAAAAATTGCTTTGATGGATTTAAACGTTCTAGGGCTTAAAAGATTTCTACGTTCATATACTTTAAGATGCCGATGGGCCTTTTTTGCAAAATTCCATTTCCGATGCCAATAGAACTGTCAAAAGTCAAAAGGTCCAAAAATCTCAAAATACTTTTATGAATTAAAAGCAAAAAACGAGGTAAATTATTCTGTAACTCATTCTTTATCAGTTTTTAGGGTTCCCGAATATAAATCTAAAGTTTTTTTTTAAACATCCAAAATGGCGAATTCAATATGGCGGACAAAATTCAAATTTGATCAGATTCGATTAAAACTTGTTACTCGGGGGTTTTTAGGGTCGCTGACTACGAATCTGAAGTCACTTTTTAAAAATTCAAAATGGCGGATCCAATATGGCGGAAAAAATTTTCAAATTTTATCCGATTCCCTTAAAACGTATATATATATATATATATATATATATATATATATATAATACATAACGTAAAATATACATATTAAAATATAACCTAATAACCCTTCAGCATTATACACTAAAATACATTTAAAATTGTTAATGAATGTTATTTACTAGTATTTGCTTCGAAAAACCCTTTGTTTAAACAATTTGCCGCGAAAGAATGTTTAAAAGAAAGTCTAAAAAGTATACTAAAAATAGTATTACAATTTTTCTTTAGGATAGTAACATTAGCTCGGCCAAGACTATGTGGGAACGAAAAATAATGTTTTGTTTTTTCCTACTATTTAGTGACCTGTATCAATATATTTGTTCAATATGTGAAAGATCATTTCCTTCCTTGAATTCCTTTAAACGTCATATCAAACTTGATCATTCATCTGAATTACCTACAAAAGAACTCACTTCTTCTTTTGATAAGAACGTCTCTTTATCAAGTGTCAGTAGTGTTTGCATTAGCTCATCCTCGCCAAGTACATCAAATTTTTCTGTTAAAGTTCTTCCTGATGTATCTATTGCTTGCGCGTTTGACAGTACACACACATTAGTATCTAATTTAAAGCAGTTTTATTATAAGAATATTTCTTCTGACAAAGGTCCTAATGTCTCTTGTGTTAAAAGTAATCGCGTATTAGAATCGAGTAAGTCACATTTCCCTTCCTTTTTTTCTTCTTCTTCCACTCCTTATGATTCAACTTTAAGCTCCAATAGTGCTCCTGATTCTAATAATAATTGCAAGGAATCAAATGATAATAATAATATCAACATTTCTAAGAGCGAGGAACAATCTAATCTAACTGATTTAATTGAAGGAAAAATGAATCGCATGATTACAAATATTTACAGCAAGCCATCAATACCCAGAAACATGGTTCAATGTGTGATTGATGAAATGAATAATATCGTAACCATTCCACTGAAAACAATGCAAGAAAAAATTAAACAGATTTTAGAGAAAAATTCGATACCTTAAAATGAACAAAAAGAAATATGAATGAAATATTTTTCTCGAAAAATCGTGTTTTTTGGAAAAAATTGTTTATAACTTTTTAACAATTTGATATAAACAAATTTTAACAGTAGAATCTGAAAGAGGAGTAAATTTTACATTAAAAATTGTATGTGCCAATTTTTTTATATGCATTTTAATAAAAAACGAGGTCCTCAAAATCAATTGGAATTTTTCGTCCGTCTGGTCCTTAGTGGGTTAAAAACTGATGATAGTATTATCTCTAATATCGTACAAGCAGGAGTATGGAAAAGTAATGAAAAAAACACTTCAAGGGGGAAATATGTCTTCCTTTAGCATTGTATTTTGATGAATACGAAACGGGAAATGCTCTTGGTTCTCATAGCGGAATCCATAAACTAGGCGCAGCCTATGTTATTCTTCTATGTCTTCCACCTCAGTTTAGAGGAAAGTTAGAAAATATTTTTCTAGCATTGTTAATGCATCATGATGACCATATAAAAGCTGGTAATTTGCCGTAATTTTAGGAGATAACCTTGGCTTAAATGAAATTTTGGGATACAGTGGAGGTTTTTCTGATAATTTTTATTGTAGAATATGTAAATTAATTAAGTCTAAAGCAAAGTACGCTACAGAGATTATGGATTCGGATATTAGAACAGAAATGATGTACAACACAGATGTAAAAGACAACAATTTTCAAGAAAGTGGTATAAAAGAGGAATGTGTTTTTAATAATATTCCTTTTTTCCATTGTGTAAAAAATATAGATGTTGATATTATGCATGATATTTTGGAGGGTGTTTTACCAGACAAAACGGGCTTAGTATTTCATCGTTTAATTATTGTAGATAAATTAATTAAATTCGATGAATTTAATTCAATAATTCAGAATTTCAATTATCAATTTGAATCGTGCAAACCACCTCTTATAACTCTAAAACAACTGAAGAATAGATATATAAAAATGGCCGCTGCTGAAATGTTGACTTTTTTTACATACATGCCTATTATGTTTGGTCGCTTTATTCCTGAAGACAATAAATATTGGAAGCTTTTGATTCAAATGAGGAGAATTCTCTCTTTCTTAAAATCTCATTCCTTCGATCTAGAATGGCTTGATTATCTAAATAATCTTATTTCAGAACATCATTTAGATTGTATTGAACTTTTTGCAGCCTTAAAACCTAAGTACCATTTTATGCTCAATTACACTTATGTTATAGATAAAATGGGGCCCTTAGAGCACATTCAAGCAATGAGAGGTGAAGCAAAACATAGAGAAGGAAAATTAATATCAAATTCAGTTTCGAGTAGAATAAATATATGTAAACCTATTGCTACAAAACAACAGCTAATTTTTTCCAATAGATTACTTTTAAATAAAGGCTTCGATTTAGAATTTACTACAGGACGTTTAAAGGAATTTAATGAAAAAACTATTAATAGTTTAAAAAATTCAGCCGATATCTGTCTTAAAGACTATAAAGCGAGTAAATTTGTAAAAATATGTAATACTCTATATCGTTGTAATTTTGTTATTGAAATTAACCTTAATTAATTATGCACAGTTAATTAAATACTCACCAGTTTTATTTTACGAATATTCGGACAAAAAGTTTGTAATTACTAAAAGCGAATTGTAAAACATTTGATGTTATTTAATAAAATTATGTTCTTAAGGACTTTTTAAAAAATTTTAATTATACTTTATTTTATCTAAAAAAATATATCATTCTTTATTATAATTAAAATAAGCTAAAATTTTAAAAATTATTTCTAGTCATACAAAATGTATGCCAGTAAATATTTAAAGAAAAGATTTATATTAAAATTATTACTAATTATTATTAATTGCCTATTTATTATAATTATAATTAATTAATTATAATTAATTATTATAATTATTACTAATCATTTTTCATATAAAGATAATAATAAAATAAAGTATTACTACAATTAAAACATCTATTTAAATTATTTTTCTCTTTAAAAAGCTATTTTTTAAATTTTTAACGAAGAATATCAAGACTTCTAATAACATTTCTAATTACTAGAACAATTATTTAAAATTAATAATATTAGTAAATTATTATTATTATTATTATTATTTAAGTTTATTTATTATTGTTATTATTTATTTATTATTATTATTTATTTTATTATTATTATTAAAATTTTTATTATTATTAGTAAATTATTAATAAATAGTAAAAAATAATTTATTTATTCAATTGAATTATTTCCACAATTAAACATCTTTTTGAAAAAATTACGATTAACCGATAAAATATTAAAATATAAATTCCTGGAGTGTAAAATTAATACTCCTTAAAATTATCACATTTTCAATTTAAAAGTGTGAAGATAAATCTGAAAGATTTTTAAACCAAACACACTGTTTTGATATTACGTAGATAATAACCTACATATAACAGAGTTTTGTCCCATAGTTGACACAGGAAATTTTTTAAGTTTTACACTCCTCAAGGTAATTTTCATTATCTTTTTTTCTTCGTGCATTTTATTCAATACTGTAAATAAAGTTTCATGAGCAAGCAAAATTATATCATGGTCCTTCAGGAGTTATAAAAATTTATCTCTTTTAAGGTCAGATATCAACTTTCCATAATGATTCTAGTGCAGCTTTAAAATCAGTATTGTCTTGTTTAAGAGTAGACACTTATGCATTTTTTTAATTTCAATATTTATTTTAATTCAAAGTCCGTAAAAATTTTTTTTATAGTGTGCCGTTGCATAATTTTTCTTGTAAATAATTTATAAAAAACTTAAAAATTTAACAAATAAATAATAATAATAAACAAATAACAATCGTAATCAAAACAAGAAAAATTCCCCTTTTCAATTGCAATGCATGATATTTTTGTGTGTTGACTTGTTAAAAACTAGGGTAGTGACACCAGTGAAAGAACATTTAAGGAAATGTATATTTTCGATATTTTTTATTTTTAATTGACATTCTTGAATTTCCTTTTAAACGTATGCAATGAGTAGCAAAATTTCTAAAGAATTTGAAGCCTATGATACAAATTTTGTAAATATAACATAAAATATTAAATTTTAATCAAATATTGAAAAATGTCCATTTTACCAGTGAAAGAATGTTGACCAGTAAAAGAACAGTTGTATTTTCCAGTGAAAGAACAAATCAAATTTATATTAATACAGTGTCTAAAAATAACAAAAATTATATGAAAAACGCTACAAATATTCTGAAACAATTTTACAACTTACCATTATTAATATTTTTCTAATTACGCAACCAGAAATATTATTTAATTGCACCTGAAACTTGTAACCTTTTTTCTGTTTATGCTTCATTCATTTGTCATGTTCATAACCCACCAAAACATTAAAAAATTATTTTCAGAAATAACTTGCATATTAAATCTATTTTTTTATCATAAACTATATTTTGAAGAAATAAGGAACCAAAAAATGTTTTTTTTATATTGCTAAAAGTTATAATTTGTGAAATATCGTAATAAATAATCAATTTGTTTTTTTACTGGTGTCAATTCTTTCACTGGTGCAACTACCCTACATCTGTTTGAAATTGTTTTAAAATAAGCGAAATTTTTCTTACTGTTAACTACAGTTAAACAATATAGAGAAAACATTTTTTTAAATCTATTATCTGAATATTATGAAATTATGTCATATTAGCTTTGAATTGATACATATAAATATTTTATCTTTATTAGAAATTAAAATAAACTCTAAATGGAACTCTGTCATAATTTTATCCATAAAAGAATTTAAAAAATTATGATTGTGCTCGAAATTGTTCTCATCTCAACAGTTGTCGTTTTTTGATCAGACCCATTTTCAACATGCCCAAATAAAGAATATTTCTCGCCGCATTTTCGTCCCTGTTCCAAGAGATTTTACATTTAGCGCAGTATAATATTTGTATATATTGACAAAAATAACGTACAAATTATTTAATTTTCGTTGCTTTTCAACAAGTCTTTTTGATTACAGAACGCAAAGACATGCGTACGTGCCCCTTCATCCATGGTGAGATATCGAGTTGACCCAAAACATGACAATCAACTGTCTTTTGTTGACATCACCCACGATATATTTTGTCAAGTAGTCTGCCTCTCGTTGAATCATCATATACTTGATACATTTTAATTTAGCTACTTTACGTTTCTCTATGAAAATCTGCTGTTCAAAAGATGTCTGTAGGAGAAACTTTGTCGATGTTATAATTTTCGTCGAGTCTTTGTGGTTAACTTTGTCCCTGTATTCGTTAGTTTGTAGCGTGTCATTGTAATATTTAACTAAATTATTTGTGTTTTTAAATAGAGCTGTCCATCGTTTCTTCTCCTGGGTGTGCCAACGAAAAGAAGCAGTTTTTATTTTAATATGCTTGTCTACTGTCTTAATGTCGAATTCGTTGGGTCGTGTGCTGCCAACACCACCGAAACCCAACTGAAGCCCGAATCGAGACCTTTTATCACCTCGATTCGCCAAGATGATGATGGTTTGCCGATTGTTTATCAGTCAGGTCAAAGTTGATTTGTCTATGTTAAATACTTTAAACAATTTGACATTATTGGGACTAATATATAACTTTTTTTTTTTTAATTGAAAAATAAATTTGCAGGCGAAGGAAAAATTTGTGGCATTCGGAACTCTTTTCCACGTTACGAAAGTCCAGATTTTCCACATTCATTTCTTTAAAACTGTTCAACGGTTATTGTCTTCAAATCCCGATATTTTTGTGAGAAAATCATTTTGTCTCTTTGTTTTTTGTCTAGGTATGACTCTATTAAATTTTCGTTCATTTTTTATAGTCAGCCTTCTTTTGTCCCATTCTTTTTACTCCTGTTCTTCCTAGTCCACTTGTTTCTTTTTTCCTGTTTCGTATTTTTCGTCTATCTGTTTTGTAATGTTTATTGTCGTCGTCTGTTGAGTTCGTCGTTGTCGACGTCGTTTGTTTTTGTGTTAGACCATTTTTTCAAAATTCAATTACGAAAAATTTTGCTAATCGATTTCAGGTAGGGAAAGACATATTTGTGCGAATATTCACATTCATCCGTCTCGACATTTCCTGAATCGGAGCAGATGAATTTTCATAATTGAATTTTTCAAAAAGTCTTCCCATCAACTCTGTGAATCCCGTACGTATAGTCACGTTGTTTTTGGTCCTTGAAAAGATGCATGATTGTGAGATAATCTGGATCTTCAGAGCACCACAAATTTCTCAAATAAATTAATAATTTTCTTTTCCTTTTTTTTTAATTTTATGTCTGCTGTCGTCGCCGTTATTGTCAATTTCGCAAAATTAATTCGTTTAAAATTGGTTAAAAAAAACTTAAAATTAAATCTTAAAAATTATTTTTAAGTTTAAACATAATATTTTAAAAATTATTATAAAAAAATTTCTTGATATACCGACGATAAATTGATGATGGTGCTGGCGGTGGATGTGACTTCAAACTGCAATGAAAATTACATTTCAAGTTTATAACATTCTCATAATATAAGAAAGTATTATAAATATTTTATGAATATTAAACATTGATTCTAAATTTTTAAGAAATGTATTAAAAAGTAACTTTTACACATTTCTCAAATTTAAAAAGAAAAATATAATAATTTGGAAATTGGCTATAAGTAATTTCCCGCTGCAATTAACTGTGTTAATAAAAATAATGAAGTTCATTTAGTTGGTAATCGTCAAGTTACTATAGATATTATTTCAAATTTTAGACAATTGTTTCCTTTTCTTCAGAATCCATACACTATTACCTGCCTATAATATTGATCAAATATAATTTATTGAAGAATTTCCTCGTCAGCTTCTCAACTTACTGAAAACCACTTGTTACACAAGCCCGAATTAATCGTCATGGAATTCCCGTTTTGGTCCTAACTTTTGTTCCTTCGTTCCATTTTTGAAAATTGGATCCAACCTTTGTCTTCGACAGACGGTTCACTTTTAAAAATATATTTCATTAATATTAACTTTGTTATTAACTTTTTCTCAAATTGTTACAGTTACCAACCCCTAAAATTGAATAATTATTTGAAATTTCTTCTTTAGCTTACCCTATTACCTCACATTTATATTATTGCAATATATGTATATCATTGAGATAATATTTTTGTGGCCTTTGGTCTATTAAATAAGAACGGTGTTTTTGTTCACAAAAGAATTTTCATATATTTAAAAAATTCGAATTCGTCTATGCATTTCGTCGTGATATTACGACTCTTCAAGACTGTAAAAAATACATATGACAGATGAGAAGATTTCGTCGAGAAAAAAACAAAAATAATAAAATGTAGAAAAAAACATACCAGCATGAGAATTTCGAAATAATAATAATAAAAATGAGATTTTTGATCAAAACATGATATACAATCAAAAAACATAAAACATGAAAACAAAAATAAAAGATGACAAAAAAATCTTTGAGGTTAGAATTGATGTTGAGATTTTTGTTGTGTGTATATATGCATGTCACTAAATGTAAAAAACATAGAATAAACACTCAACATTAAAAAATAATAAACACAAACAACACATTATATAAAAAATACAATTAAATAAAAATAAAAATGTGTGGTGTAAAAAATTTGTGAACATGCTGTCATCTTATGGCATAGAATATTCTCCATAGAGGTAGGAGCGTGAGAACAAATTTTTGATGCGGTTATACACTGTGAGACAAGCTTAGTGTTTACGAAATACGGAGATTTAACAATTTCTATAATGCGCTAGATACGAAGATTACAGTAAGCGCGGATATTTAATTTTAAAATATAAGTATAATATACTAGAGTGCTAATTGAAACAATTTAAGGTACCTATAACATCATGGTAAATTATGGATAGTCCTTCGGTGTCAGTTCTAAAATTGATGGCATTTCCATTTTTTACAATGTGGTACATTTCAAGAATATTTCTTTTTCTAAAGTAATTAGCACTGTCTAATATTTTAATATTATTAGAGTTAAAATCAAAAGTATGTTTAAAATTATGTGCATGTCTGCATAATGCAGTTTTTGTGTGGTCTTTATTTTGAGAATAATTATGTTCATAGATTCTCTTCTTTAGTTGTCTACTAGTTTGTCCAATGTATACACTGTCACAATTTCCACATGGGATCTTATATACTACATTTGTTCTTTCAAATTTGGGGATTCTGTCCTTGGATGATGGTAAAAGAGAATTTTGGAATTTTTTAGTTATAGAAAAAATAATTGATATTTTTAATTTTTTACATAAAGTAGTTATTGCTTGTGAAATATAATCTACATAAGGTAAGACTAGGGTTCGTGATAAGTCAATATCTTGGATAGACAACAAACCCCTAAGACCCGTAACTTCTTTCATCAATTCACCACTATACAATTTATCACAATACTTAGGTTCTATATTAAACAACATTACTAACAAATCAAAACACACATTAAAAAATAGTTTCCAACTTTTAGATGAAATAAAACATTATAAAATTCCACGTACACACACTTTAGTGTCTTTAGATGCTGTTTCCATGTTCTCAAACATCGATCCCGAATTAGTATATGAACTAATTAAAAATAAATGGCCAATTTTAAAAACATATACTACTTTAACATTTAATCAATTTGATCAAGCCATTAAATTCTGTATGGGTAATGCTTACTTTCAATGTAATTTTAAATTTTACAAACAAAAATTCGGGACCCCCATGGGCTCTCCATTGTCGTCAACTGTGTCTGAGATAGTTATGCAACATATCGAAGATAAAGTTTTGAGCAACACAGCACTTAATATAAAATTCTATTATAGATATGTGGATGACACTATTATATGTATACACAAAAGACAAACTAATAACTTATTAAACTCATTCAACTCCATTGGTGGCTCACTACAATTTACACTTGAACCATCAAATAATAACGAAATTAACTTCCTTGATTTAAAATTAATTTTTTCTCAAGGCTTTATCGAAACCGACTGGTACCAGAAACCTTATGCTTCTGGTCGCCTTTTAAATTTTTTATCTAACCATCATATAAACCATAAGAGAGGTATCATATTCTCTCTTGTCGATAGAGCCTTCACACTATCCGAGGAAAAGTTTCTTAATAAAAATATAGACATTGTCTTTCGATTATTACAAGAAAACAATTTTCCATATGATTTCATAAAAGATAACATCGAAAAAAGAATAACCTACTTGACAAATAAGAATAACAATGATATAATTGCCCAAGATATTGACTTATCACGAACCCTAGTCTTACCTTATGTAGATTATATTTCACAAGCAATAACTACTTTATGTAAAAAATTAAAAATATCAATTATTTTTTCTATAACTAAAAAATTCCAAAATTCTCTTTTACCATCATCCAAGGACAGAATCCCCAAATTTGAAAGAACAAATGTAGTATATAAGATCCCATGTGGAAATTGTGACAGTGTATACATTGGACAAACTAGTAGACAACTAAAGAAGAGAATCTATGAACATAATTATTCTCAAAATAAAGACCACACAAAAACTGCATTATGCAGACATGCACATAATTTTAAACATACTTTTGATTTTAACTCTAATAATATTAAAATATTAGACAGTGCTAATTACTTTAGAAAAAGAAATATTCTTGAAATGTACCACATTGTAAAAAATGGAAATGCCATCAATTTTAGAACTGACACCGAAGGACTATCCATAATTTACCATGATGTTATAGGTACCTTAAATTGTTTCAATTAGCACTCTAGTATATTATACTTATATTTTAAAATTAAATATCCGCGCTTACTGTAATCTTCGTATCTAGCGCATTATAGAAATTGTTAAATCTCCGTATTTCGTAAACACTAAGCTTGTCTCACAGTGTATAACCGCATCAAAAATTTGTTCTCACGCTCCTACCTCTATGGAGAATATTCTATGCCATAAGATGACAGCATGTTCACAAATTTTTTACACCACACATTTTTATTTTTATTTAATTGTATTTTTTATATAATGTGTTGTTTGTGTTTATTATTTTTTAATGTTGAGTGTTTATTCTATGTTTTTTACATTTAGTGACATGCATATATACACACAACAAAAATCTCAACATCAATTCTAACCTCAAAGATTTTTTTGTCATCTTTTATTTTTGTTTTCATGTTTTATGTTTTTTGATTGTATATCATGTTTTGATCAAAAATCTCATTTTTATTATTATTATTTCGAAATTCTCATGCTGGTATGTTTTTTTCTACATTTTATTATTTTTGTTTTTTTCTCGACGAAATCTTCTCATCTGTCATATGTATTTTTTACAGTCTTGAAGAGTCGTAATATCACGACGAAATGCATAGACGAATTCGAATTTTTTAAATATATGAAAATTCTTTTGTGAACAAAAACACCGTTCTTATTTAATAGACCAAAGGCCACAAAAATATTATCTCAATTTTAACAATAAGGTCTACAACATTCACTATATATGTATATCATTCTATAACATATCTTATGAAGTAAAATTTTTTCTAACTCTGGACAGAAAATTAATTGGCTCCAAAAAGGGCGAAATTTGTTCAATTAAATTTCTTATTATTGAGTTGTTGAAAGTGTTAGATTTTGCTTGATTTTAAGCAGAAAGTTTTCTCTATTTAAAATAATCAATTGCCAAAGCAAACTTTTGAATTCAAAGAAATATTTACATTCGTGTTAGTTTTATAGAATTCTGTTTAAACCGCATGATTCGGGTGCGTGGAAACGAGGGTCACCCACAATTTTTCCGAAAGCAGTTCAATGTTCTGATAAGGTAACATAAGCAAGTGTTGGAGTTAGTAAAGGTGGTTAGCGGATTAGAGAATTACTAACCCGATAATGGAGAGGCGGTCAATAGCACGATAGATCGCGCCTTAGAGACGGTGTACAGTAACACACGAAAGCTCCAAGTCCCGAAGGTACTTCATTCGACTACTTGTTTTCGAATTGCGACCATCCAGTTTCCTGATCGGATTTTCCTAGTCCCGAAAACCATAGAATCGCTTCTAATACTACGCAATCTATCTTTACTAAAGTCTATTTATTTCTATTACAATATATGGTTCCATCTATTTAGAAGCATTCAATTTATCATATAAGTTTATACAATACCACAGAAATTTGAACTTTATTGTAAACGGTTTATGGTCAGTTTATAAAGTGAATTTATCATCGAACAATATAGTAATGTTTAAGGACATAAAACTGTTTCTTCAATAATCAATCGGATTTAAGTTCTAAGAGGTTTGCTAAAGTTGAAGAGACAATTTTCTCAAAGATCAAAAAGAAAATTAAAAATAAAATTAAAAAATAAAGCAGTTGCTTAAACTGGACATAACAATTTTCTCAAAAAAACTATGATTGTCACAATTTTTGAAGAAGAGAAGTTGTTTTAAAGCGTCTTTTACTAATTTCTTAGTATTTTTGTCTTTTTGCTCATCATCTATATTAAGTTGTTGTTGCCGTCATGGTAGTCTATTTTCTTTCTTTCGTTATGTTTCGTCTGTTTTGTCCGTTTTGTGTTTCTTCTTTGTTTTCTTTCAAAAATGTTACTAAATTCATAAAGTCGTTGTCTCAAATCAATTGTTCTTGACTTCATCTCAACTCATTTTTGTAGAAAAATTATTTTGTCCCTTTGTTTATTACCTCACAGAAAAAAATTGGATTCGTTTTTGTTGCAACTCATAACACAGGTCAACAAAAAAACACTTACTTTTTTATGAGATATCGGAATGGTTTCCGATGTATTTTTGGACGCTGAACACGATCCCGTCTTCCAAAATTGCCCATCATGTCAGGATTTTGAGAAAAGTGGGGGTAAAGACCCCAAAAACGCTTTTTTGAGGATTTTCAACATTTTTTTTCTCTTTAACCTGACGTGCTAGAGACTTCCACAAGGTCTTATATTAAAGATTGTAATGTGCACTACAAGACTCATATCCATAAAATAAAAAAAAATTAAAAAGTTTTTCAAAAAATGGGGTTGAAGACACCAAAAAGGTGTATTTTTGGATTGCTTTAATAGACTTCTTGCAATTGCTTGGATTCGCTTGAAAATTTTTACTCGGGGTTTTTGGGGTTACTGATTACAAATCCGATATTAGTTTTCAAAAATTCAAAATGGCGGATTCGTAATCAGCGACCTCAAAAACCCTGGAGTAACAAACTTTCAAGCGAATTCAAGCAATTCTTAATTTTTACATCTGCCATCTTGGTTTCGCCATTTTAAATTTTTGAAAACTAATTTCGGATTCGTAATCAACGACTCCAAAAACCCCGAGTAAAAATTTTCAAGCGAATCCAAGCAATTGCATGAAGTCTATTAAAGCAATCCAAAAACACACCTTTTTGGTGTCTTCAACCCCATTTTTTAAAAAAAATTTTTAATTTTTTTTTTATTTTATGGATATGGGTCTTGTAGTGCACATTACAAGCTTTAATTTAAGACCTTGTGGAAGTCTCTAGCACGTCAGGTTAAAGAGAAAAGAAAATGTTGAAAATCCTCAAAAAAGCGTTTTTGGGGTCTTTACCCCCATTTTTCTCAAAATCCTGACGTGATGGGCAATTTTGGAATTCGGGATCGTGTTCAGCGTACAAAAATACATCGG